ATTGAACAGGATGGAATCATTTCAGATTTAAAGAACTTTCAGAAGTTTAAATTCTTAATATGAGCGACTTTTCCTTTAATTATTCTATAATATCTCAATCAAGTCATGTGACTCATGGGTTTTCACATCATGCTTCTGTTTATCAGCTCCTTTGGTTCACAGGCAGCACTGTGCATAAAGTGGAGGACAGGAGATTCTATGTTTTGTAACCCCTGACACTTTGTCCGTTTTATGATTATAATGATCAAATCTAGTGATGACTTTAAACAGACACATTATTCTGAGGAGACACTAAATGATTTGGTGAAACTAATTCCTACATCCTGCGACCAAATATGGAAATAATATGCATTCATTAGCATGCAGTTAAATGCAGCAGCTTTCCTTAAACTGTAGCATTTTCAATGTAAAGTACTAGGATGGCGGCCATTTTGTTTGTTTTTTGCTGTGAGAAACTGGATAGTCAGGCGACCTGGCATATGGAGCTACTTTAAAGCCATGAAGTTCATGCAAAATAATTTTTTTTAAACTTAAAAAATATATATATTTAAAAAGGTGTTTTTTATAAACTGAAAAATATATATTTTAAATTGACAAGAATTAATGTTTCAAACCACTTTTCAGATTCAAGTCTCAAACTGCTGCTCCTTCATTTTATTTCAGTGTTAAATTCAGTTGAAAGTAACAGATTATAATTAAAAATGTCTCCCGATCTTTACTGATTGTTAATTTTCTTTATTCGGACCCTGCTGATTTTTAATTGGTTACACCTGGTTTAGATCAGGATGATTAAAGTTCAGCAAAAGCCTTTTGATCAGCTTTCAAATAAAATCAGCTGTGCTGGAATAGGAAACCTCTCAAACCTGCAGGACGGCGGCCCTCCAGGACCCACATTGGGGATGCCTGCTCTAACGGACAGACGGCGGCGGGTTCCTCGGTCTTATTCACTAAGGGAAAGAGTAGGAAAGTCGTCCGTCTGTGGGGAACTAAATTCAGTCTCCATTTTCAGCAGAAGTCAAAGGAAGACACTAAACCTAAAGGTAGAGCTGAAATTCCACAACTCTGCTTCTTCTGAAAGCTTCTTCCAGGCCTGTTAGCAGAAAGCATCCGACCATCTGGCTGCTGGAGGAGCTGGCAGCCGATCCGAGTGACGCTGCTGGCAGAAGCAATGAGGAGAAGAAGTAAGAAGATGTATGAAATCATTGCTCCATCAATCTCTGTTCTTCAGTGATAAACCTGGTTCCCTCAGAGCATAATGATCAGACCATGATCAGGAAGTTCTCTCTGATCCGCCTGCCTGATGACCACTGGCTAAGGAGAAGGAATTGAACAGGCTGGAACTCACAGATAGAAAGAAGATAGAAAGAAGGTTTAGAACTTCATCTGCAGTCATGAGGATGTTTCTAAGGTCTTTGGTGGAGAAGAAGCTGAGCTGAAAGGTGAACATTCCTCCATCCATGACCTCCTGAGATGTGGATCATTGCTGGAAGAGCAGGATCCTCGATAAAAGTGACCGATCTGAGTTGCTTCTGCTGCTTCTGCCTTAAAGGTGAGGAGAGGAGCTCCATCATCCAGTGGAGCTCAGAGAAGAGCTGCTGCTCTGCAGCATCAGGCTGAGAAGGTCCATCTGACCAGGATTCCTCT